AGAGAGAGAGAGAGAGAGAGAGAGAGAGAGAGAGAGAGATCAAAGTCTATGTACAGAACTGTAAACGTATAATATAGACTATGTATTACACACTATTTAAAAAAAAACACACACACAGGAACATATAGGTTTTACACACTAAAGCCACCGTACTACTGTAAATAAAATGAACTTACCTACGCAGGTAACATCGTGATCCCTCGACCACCACCACGAGAGTAGAGTGATCCGACTTGAACTTGAAACTTGACTGAAGAAACCACAAACTGTGTCTGTGCGTCCGTCTATGGTCGGCCTCACGTCGGCAGCCCGTCGTCGCTGTTGGCTTCCTCCTCGGTTATAAAAGACCTGGATAGGTGTCGCCAAAAGGTCAGCCTCGAGCGAAGAATCCGTGTGTGTGTGTGTCGAAAAGTAAAAGCGGAGGAAAGCCGAAGGAAGCGTTTTGTTTGAACGCGGTCACAATTTTGTGCAGATACTCGTACATACAAGACCTCGGAGTTACCTCAAACCGTGTAACTGTTAAAAAACAAAATACAACCAACAACAACAACAACAACAAGTACAACTACAAGACCCCAACGAAACAGGGCAGAGCTCGATTTCTAGTCCGACCAGAGAGCTGGCGTGTCCGACTAAACTCACTGCTGCAGAATAGATGTCTGTCTCTGCAGGTCGGTCCACCTCAGTAAAATAGAAAAAATCGGGAGTCATTATGAAGTATAAATAGTGCTCGAGTACTATGGGCTAACTTTTGAGTTTACTCTCTCCTTTCGAATGATAGTTGGTTTGTTTGTTTTGGGTTTACTGTTTTGTTTTGTTTGGGGTTTTGGTTCTTTGGTTGTTTGGTTGTTTGTTTGTTTGTTTGTTATTGGGTTTTTGTTGTTGTTATTGTTGTAGTTGTTGTTTTTTTTTTGGGGGGGGGGTAGAAAACTGTTGGTGTGAAAACTTTTTGTGTTGTTTGCGCCTATAAAACATCTTTCATCCTAATTTTTCCTCCTCCTTTTTGCGTTTGTTACTCTCTTGAAACACCCCCAAATCCTCGGCTTTTATTTGACCTAACTAAGCTGCAAGTGTCGTGCGTAAAACTCTCACTAAAACAAGAAAACGTTTCCAGAAAGCAAGTAGATGGTTAGGGCGGGACAGCGTGGTCGGACGACGGGAGACTTACACGTTGTGTGTCACGCTCAAGCCTGGGTGGACATGTGGGCCAAGGTGGACCTCACATGACCTCGCCATTACCACCAGTCTACGACTTGCAGTTCTACATCACTGACTGACTGACTGATTGATTGATTGACTAACTAGCTAACTGACTGACTGACTGACTGACTGACTGACTGACTGACTGATTGACTAACTAGCTAACTGACTGACTGACTGACTGACTGACTGACTGATTGATTGATTGACTGACTAACTGACTGACTGACTGACTAACTGACTAACTGACTGGCTGGCTGACTGACATTTTCACAGAAAAGTTCCTCGTTTCATTTTTAC